TTCATGTGACACGAATTTCGAATTTATTTTCACATATAGAAAAGCAGCCTCAGGGAAATGTCACACGACTAATATATTAATAAGTGACATATATGGATTTTTAAAAAATATCCACTAAATCGAATATATTAATAGCAATAAAAATTATAATTCATATGGAATTTCTGTATGCAAATTTTTTATAGGGATGATGAATCACTATTTTACTCAAATAATGATTGCCCAACAGTGTGGATACCTTTAGGGGGAACCACCTCTTTGAAAAAAGGGAAGGTAAGTCCATAATGGTGAGTGAACTCTTATTGGAAACAATTGGATGTTTAAAGCTAACTCCAGAACAAGACTGGCAAATCCAAATATTCCAAAAGAATCTAGAAAGTCCTTAAAACCTGGAAAAAATGAAGAGGGGTGGTGGACAGCTGAACATTTGTTAGACCAAGTAATTAATTATGCTATACCAACATTTGAAACAATTCATCCTGGAACAATTGCTGTCTTTGCATTTGATAATAGCACCAACCATGGATCTTTGCCAAAAGATGGATTGAATGCTGCACATATGAATGCAAAACCTGGGGGTAAACAACCTTGCAGAACCACCTCTTTGAAAAAAAGGGCAAGGTAAGTCCATAATGGTGAGTGAATTCTTATTGGAAACAATTGGATGTTTAAAGCTAACTCCAGAACAAGACTGGCAAATCCAAATATTCCAAAAGAATCTAGAAAGTCCTTAAAACCTGGAAAAAATGAAGAGGGGTGGTGGACAGCTGAACATTTGTTAGACCAAGTAATTAATTATGCTATACCAACATTTGAAACAATTCATCCTGGAACAATTGCTGTCTTTGCATTTGATAATAGCACCAACCATGGATCTTTGCCAAAAGATGGATTGAATGCTGCACATATGAATGCAAAACCTGGGGGTAAACAACCTTGCATGTGCTCAACATTTTATGGGTCAAATAATACTCCACAAGAAATGGTCTTTCCTGCTAACCATCCAATTCATCCAAATTTACCTAAAGGAATGTGCCAAATTTTAAAAGAAAGAGAGTTATGGAGTGATGGATTAGTTGCTGACTGTAAATTATGTAAAGGGAAAAATACCAAAGTAGTTGATTTGAAAAGAGTGGATTGTTGCATGAGGTGCATTATATCACTACAACCTGATTTCTTGACACAAAAATCAATTCTTCAAGAGGAAATTGAAAAAAGAGGACACAAATGTATATTTTATCCAAAATTTCATTGTGAGCTCAATTTTATTGAGATGTTTTGGGGAGCTGCAAAACATTATACAAGAAAGAATTGTGACTACAAGTGGTCAAGTTTACAAACAGTTGTACCAGAAGCACTGAATTCAGTATCTTTGACAACAATTTGTTGTTATGCACAAAAAGTTGGAGATACACGGATATTTATAGGAAGGGAATTTCAGAAAAGTTGGCAGAGTTTGCAGTGAAAAAGTATAGTTCACATAGGAGAGTGCCTGATTCTGTGTATATGATGAAATTAAAATTTGAGTTTATATGTGTTTTTGTGTAACTTAAACTTATTTTTTTGCTTTTGTCAAAAGAATAATGGAACATATGAATTTATGAATTATCCAAATTAAGAAAGATCAATGACATAAAAATGGGACTATTTTTTTTTGTCTTGAATTAATTCTTTTTTTAAAGCTGAGTTGAATGGTGGTATCTTTAAAATCTGGTGTATAGATCACATGATATTTAAATTTCATGATTTTTGAGTATAGACGATCGGCACTGTATAAAAATCATTTTTTAATAAAGGGTGCATAATTTAGTGTTTGTTGCCACATAAATCTGGGTTTCTAATTTAAGCAAACACCAATGAAAAGCTTCCAATTACCGAAATGATCAGCAAAAATTGCTGTATATGAAACTCACGTGGTTTATGATGAAATTATTTTTGTTACACGGTATAATCACGTGTTTTATAATTGTTTATTGGAATCTGAGGGAATGTTAAACAAATTTGAACGGCCTTATAAATAATTAAACTTATCAAATAAATTTTTAAATATTCTTCTACCAGCATACAAATTTTGCAATCTAATTCTTTCATTCTTTAAATGAGCTTGATCTGTTGACTATAATATAGTAATTATAACATTATTATTAGTGTTGATTTATTATGAAAAGGAATCATATTTATTTACCTGACCAATTGGTAAATGTACAGTTATTGCATTGAATTTTTTTTCCAACCAGCTTACTGCTGGAATTGATCCACCTTCTCTTATATACAATGGTTTTATTCCCCATTCCTATATGTTAAAAATTAGTTACAAGCTATAAATTATAATAATTATTAGATATTAATATTTATTACTTCTTCAATTGCTTCTTCGGCTGCTTTAAAATATTTATTTTCAGGATTGCCTAACCACCAATCTGCCATGTTATTTATAGTAATCTATTGTGATCATTATTAATTGAAATTAAAATTGTGATTAAAATAGTTTTATTATATTATTAATCATAAATCTAGTCATGAAACTCCTTACCTTTAAACAATTATCAGTTGTCAACTCTTCAAATTTTTCATTTACAAATATTTGAAAATTTTTAATTATATCATTTATATTTTGATCTGGTACAATCCTCATGCTTAATATAGCTTCTGCTTTATGTGATATAACTGTTGTATTATCATTTGGTCCACTTACATCTATTCTATGTATAGTTAGTGATGGATATCTCCATCTCAACATCAACGAATCTATCAAATCTTTATTTTCATTACCAAATAATAATTTACTCCTAATATATACATAAATGTAAATATTTATTTGGAATAAGAATAATCCTGGTAATTGTATAGTTATATTATTACCTATTAACTGATTTGATAATTGGTTCATATAATTTTTTTTCATTTGATGTTGCTTCTCTAACTTTATCATAAAATTCTATTGTTTATAAAAAATTTTTAATATACACATAATAATAAATTTATTAATTGATGAATTAATTTTCACCTGGTATCAAAACTTTATTATCATTTGTTATAAGTTTTGAGAGTATTCTAATCATATCTTTTAATGGCTCAGATACC